TGTGTATACCAAAAACACCTAGGGAAATGTTCACTACTTTGAGTGCCCTTTCTGCTTTATGTTTTCTTACTCTTAGAAGAGAGCATATTCCCAGTAGGTAAAAGGAAGAAAAATCTGAAGACATTTCAAAGTCTGTTAAGGAGGAGTGATCCTGAAGATTCTTACCCTCTGTAATGGGTCTTCTAGAAGCTGAATGGCACTGCTGATGGCTTCCTGTGGCACATATGAGGACTCTCCATTGCCCTGAATCTCTAGCACTGCCATCTGCGGTGAGGAGTAATAAAAAGGAAAAATAGAGACCTAAGAACCTCAGTGCTCCCACAATCACTCCCTCAAGACCAGTACCTTACTTGTCAACCCTCCATTTCCCTTCTATCTTCTAATTTGACTCCTTTCCACTACCCACCCTTCTGGTCTCCTCACCTCCAGTGCACACATGCCAAAGGAGTAGATGTCTACTGCCGTTGTCACATTAGTGACTTCTAGGGAAAACAGAGAAGCTTTGGTGAATCAGAGGATCCGGGCAGGGCATGGCAGAGGTGTCTTAACTTTTTGCATGCCAGTAGAGAAGGACGAAAGTTTCAGTTATGTTACCTCCGACCCTCAGGTTGTAAAGTGGAAAACCTGGGGTATGGGCACAGGGCAGAGAAACTGGGATGCCTCACCTCCATATTCTGGTGCAAAGAAGTGGAGATTCTTCTGTTCTTCCCGACAAGTCTTCACATGATTGTTGATAGTGTCAGGAGCCACTGGGAGTAGGGGAGATACCCACAATCTGACCACCATCAACAAAGCACAGCCTAACTCCAGAGAGAGGCCCCCAAAAGACAAATTCTCTCCTGAAGTCTCTAACCCTCAACAGGCGCAAACCTATCTCTTTCCCATCATGAACTCCAGACTAAACATGAACACCACCTATCTCCCCTTTCTCAGGTCTACTGCTTCTCATCTAAGGTCCCTAACTCAGTAGCAGCAAAGGCTCCACACTAAACTAACAGGTACACAGGGGCTTTGGGCTGGCAAGGAAAAACACAGACTAAGGAAAAACCCACTTGTGACCTGCTTACCTTCCCCAAAGCCCAGGTACACCTAACCCCAGATCACATGAAAACGTTTGGTCTAGTTCTTTCATCCACCCTGCAAACAATGTAAAAACACAGGCAGCCCTTCCTAATCTGTAGCAATTAAGAGACCTCAGAAACTTGGATGAAGATGGATAAGAAGGATTAACATACAACCAAGTAGACAGCCTCCTTCTTACCCACCTTTACTGACTGAAACTCAAAAACAGCTCAAAACTGAACCAATACCCTTAAATCAGTTTCACTTGTAATCCACAAAAATTTTTAGACCCCTGCTCTACTCTCTTATTCCTCAACATTGCCTGCCACAGAGCTGAACGAGGAACCAGGGCCAGGCCCAATTTGGACTCACTCGGATCATAAACAATGACTACAAGTCACAGAGAGTCTGGGAGCACAGTATGACTTAGGGAACCAGCCTGATGATGAGGGCGATTAAGAATCCTGGACGTGGATTCAGCCAGGCAGAATCCACAGGAAACAAGCAGGTTATGGAAAAGCAAGCATGGGGAGGGCTGGTAGCACAGAAGCCAAGCAGGCATAATTAGGCAGGGGAACGGTGTTTGCTCCCACGACTGCATGCACTGGGCAGCCGCAAAGGGGAGCAGAGGAAGCACAAACAGCGCCCCAAATAGGGCAGAGGGAGCTCTCACCATTAGCAAAAATCCTATGAAAGACTGTTGGGAACAGAGCAGCCCGTAAGCGGGAGGGAGGAAAACAGAGAAAAGTTGTGAGCGATGGAGCAGCCAAGCCCCAGACAAATGGACACACAAACAACACACAGACACGGCACACAGAAATGTTAAACACTGCACACGTATACACAGCAAATGAAAGCACTCACAGCAGGCACAGCCTGGAACCTCCTTTGGTAGGGTCTGGCCCCAGGGGCTCAAATCATACCTTACACCCAACCCTTGCCCTTTCCCAACCTCCTGTCAAGATCTCTGTATTAACCCCAGTTTCCCTCCAAAAATGTACAAGATTAGACCCTACACCTTCTCCACTAATTGACTGGCCTCTCTCTATAAATTACCCCTAGTAAGGTCCTTTCTCTTATCAGCAGCCCACACCTCAGAACTTTGCTCTGTCTTCCCCCATTCCTTTCATCTTACCCCCATGGTTCCCAAATTCCCGAGGCTCCCCTGCCCAGAACCTCTCCCTCCCCTCACCAGAGCCAATCTTGATGAGTCCGTTGTGCTGGATGAAGATGGTGTCACAGGTCAGGTTCCCATGGATGATGGGGGGGTCACAGGAGTGCAGGTAGCTGTGGGGGCACTGGGCTGTTAGAGGGGCCACTGGGAAATTAGGGCAGGGGGATCCCAAGGGCTAAGAGGAGCAAGGGCCTGCTCTCCTGCTGGTCACCACAAAGATAATACCCACACTCTGAATCTCCATTATGCCTGATGAGTTAAATAGCTGGATAAGCGCTAGGAGAAAGAAGTGGGAGACAGCATCGTGGTCAACGCATTAGGATGAACCCTTTAAAAGACCGATAGGGGCCTAATCTTGAAGTATATGACTCAAAGAAAGTGGGGAGAGGCAGAAAAGAACGGCAGAGTAGTGCCCTGAAATCTGTTTGGAGGAACTAAATCAGGAATAAATATGGGAAAGACACTAACCAGATCCTACTTACCTTAGGGCAGAGAGGATTTGTGTGCACCAACGCTTCCAAGCCTGGAACAGAGTTTGATCCAAGGGTCAGCAGTAATCCCCTCTCTTAACCCTCCAACCAGTTCCCTCCATCCCATCCTGATCAGCTTCATAATTAACATAATCTTTTTTAAACCTCCAAACCAGCCTAAAGCTTTTTCTGCTCTCCCTCCATACCTTTTCATTCATAGTCTTGTGGTTCTTTTTGGTCTTCTTCAGAAATTGCTTAAGACTCCCAGATGACATGTATTCTGTGATAAAAATGACCTGGAGAGGCAAAGCACACAAATAAAGCCTTATAGTAGAAATGATTCCTTATCTAGGTAACACATATACAACATATACATAAAATTTGGAAGCCTGGTGTTTTTCTTAATAAAGTATCTCTCTTTCGTTCTTAGCATCACTTCCTTAGATTTAATAGGGCAATGAAAACTACTGAGCAATATGAGCTACGGGAAGGAAGAAACAAAAATTCACTGATTTCTGTCCCGACTATAACCAGACAAAAGGCACAGGTGGTGGTCATAGCCCTACTCTCATCTCAACAGCAGCTGATTCCAGCTCTGTTTCAAAACTATCTTTTTCTGAATATAGAATGAACAGTAAGTGTAGCTAGTCTCTTTGCAGTAAGCTCAGGAAAAAGTTCTTACCCTGGCCTTGTTCTCTTTAATGTCAGCCCAATACTTGTGAAACTTGACAATGTTGAGATGTTCCAACTGAATCAGATTATCAAACACAGCACGGACCTTTTCCTGGAAGCAGGGGAGACATTGGGATAACAGGGTTCAGAAAGCATTATCATCCTAAAAAGCCATTCCCTATCCCCCCTAGAAATGATCTAACCCCAATGTACTCTTCTCATAGTAGCTTCCCAACCCCAATTCCTCTTTACACCAGCATTCTAACATCCCACAGGCTGCATTCTTTCACCATTACTTACCTCCTGCAGCTTGTAGTTCTTTCGCTCAGAGAACTGTACCTCATTCCACACAACCTCTACACCCTCCTCTGTATCCATGGCCAGGTATGCACTGTCAATACCCGGTACATTCCGCTGATTCACCTGAGAAGAAATTCAAATGAAAGGGAATTAAAGTTACCACACAAAGTCTCTATTTTAATACTCCGTACGATCATCTTCTCCCAGGCTCTGACCTGTTAAAGTTTGGTCTGCCCCGCTGAGACTCTGCCCCTTCACTTTTTACCTCTTAGTTTCACTCTCTAGAGTAACACTACTACTACCTCACCTCTTCTCGCCTCTTCTGCCAGCGCCCACAGGGTGACTCTTCCAAGATCTCAGACTCATCTTCACTTTCCTCTTCTTCCTCTGGGGAAGCTGCTGAGGTTGTGGAGGTCACAGGAGGTGACACTGACGTCAGGCCAGGAGCTGAGGATGAGGATTCTACCTTTGGGTCTGAGCCACTGCTGAGTACTGTCTGGGACTCCCCCTCCGACATGCTGGAACAAACACTCAGGCCTGCATTGGTTGGAGCAAGGGTGATGGGAGAAGGCAGAGAGGGTTAGGATAGAGTCTATAAAGATTCCATCCTAATAACCTAATCTGGGATTAAAAACAAAACATATACCTCCCTTGTTTCCTTTAAATCCAAAATCAGAATTAGTCCTGTATGAACCCTAAACATTAACTACTCTCCTAGTCTAGAGAAGGGGAGCTATCTTGGTTGAAGATGACTCACCCAGGTCAGTGAGCAACTGAAGTATATTTTAAGCTTAAAGAATATGCTGCTATGCTTAATTATGTTAATAAACATATTTTATCACTTAAAAAAAAATGACTCACCCAGGAGTGGCAAGCACAAGATTTACGGTAGTACAACCCGTGTTTAGTAAGGTCCAAATGAACAGCAAAATCAGGGGCCTCATTCCTTCTCAGCAAACACTTACCCGATAGCCTTCTCTGTGAATCCTCACCTACCTCTTGCACTGTGCTCAAGAACCAAGGTACATGGGCACTATTCGGAACAGATGACTCCAGACCCCCAAATGTTCCACTGAACCAGCTCTAGATCTAGAGCTGTAGCACTCTCAACCGATTTATTCAGCTGAAACAATCAGCTGATTTATTCTACTTAAACTCATCTTGGCATTCACTGTCCATCTCTCCTATGCACAGAACGAGCCTGCCAGTCCATGATGAGGCTACCCTTGGGCCAGGTGACTGGCAGTGGCTAGTGACTTCATCCCTGATGACCTCACCCTCCCTGTGATGTGAGTGTGGCAAATGGGTGGGTATTAGCAACACTTTTTTTTTCATTCACTCATTCAACAAATGTTTATTAAGCACTTACTGCGGGCCAAGCACTGAGCTAGGTGCTTGAGATACAATAGTGAACAAAATAAATAAGATGCCCACACTCATAAAGCCGCAAATTTAAGGCAGAGCTAAGACTTTAAGCTTCCAGTTTTCATTTCATTCACATGGCTCAAAGCCTCCATCCTCTGACATAGGTATTCCTTTCAAGTACAAATAACTCAAGACACAGCCATTATAGGAAAAAGCACTATACAGTATAACATTTTATACTAACTAGTGTATAGTATTATACATTAACATAGCTACTTAAAGAAAAAGAATCCTCAAAAGCTAAATGTCACTAACTTAAGAATCACAGGACAATCCCTGAATGTTATCCCATATCTCTAAGAACGAAGGCCGTGAAGGAGTTGGAATCTGATGTGTGCTGGGCTCAAGGGAGTGCTCGCCAGAATGAAAATGATACCCTGTAAAGTACATTTGCTCCAGTAAGTCAGTTCAAAATACACAGGCTTCTGATCAACGCCAACCTTCTGAAAAGCCCTCATTTCTTTTTAGAACTCTCAGATGCCCCCTTCTGCCCATCTCTGCCCCCAACCTACACTGTGTTTAACCCAAGCCAGATTTTATTAGATGACATTCCAGTAAATATCAGAGGGCAAACAAAGCACTACAGAGAAAATCTGGCAAGATGTCATTTCGCCTATGTTTTTTTCTCGGTCCTTGCCTAGCATAGATTTCAATCAACCAGTCTTAGTAATCTACCTGAAAAGTAGCTTAAAAAAAATGGTAAGAAAGTTCATATGGGTTACTTTATTTATAGAATGCATCCTTAATCTGAACAGCTAAGTAAAGTTTCCAGCTACATTATAAGAAATACCAGTGGAATTCTAATACAGGAAGCCTGTAGCCAATGGGCTCTAAAGAAATTTCTGGACCCAGGGCACAATTAATCCACAGCAGGGCACCGCAAGAGAGGGCAAACCTTCACCAGTCATAGACGCTCTTCGAATGTGCTTGTCTTCTCCCTCCCCAATCTCTCCCCCCCCCCCACCGTAGGCAAAATGAAGGCAATGCCCAAGATCCCCCAGCACTCCCCCTGCTGATGGCAACACTGGAGTTTTTGTCTCAGGGTCGGTCGTTCAGAGGTTTAAATGAGATCACATATGGAAAAGGCCATTGACGCCCCTCAAGGGAATCTCCTCGCCACCCCGAGATGCCTAGTGTTCACTTCCGTGCAGTGTAGGTAAATCGTTGCAAAGTTTTCTCCTGCAAAGTTTTTCATTTTGGGGGCTGCAGCTTCTCAGCATTTCAACTCCTCAGCAACAGCTCACAGGCCTCTCGCCCGCCCTCACCTTCAGCGGACCAAAGAAGGCCTGAGACCTGCAGAACAAGCAAGCTCGGGGAGGAATTTCACACTCCAACAGGTCGCCTAGCCCGCTGTCAGCGAGGGACCGTCGGGCCCCGGGGCCGGCCCTGCAGCGAGCCGCAGCCACCTCACCAAAGGCCAGCCCCGCGGCGCAGTCAGGGGCGCAGGCCACGCCCCCGCGCAGTCGGCGCGCCGACCCCGCGAGCAGGCGCGGCCCCGACGCTGCGCTTCCGCAGGCCGCCGGGCCCGCGACCGCCGCCCCCGCCCCCGCCCCCGCCGCCGGCCCCGCCTCTCGTCAGCCCGAGTTCGACATGAACGCCGGGGCCTCTCGCCCCGCGCCCGCAGAATTCCGGGCGCTGCCGCCGCCGCTCGGGGACGGTCGGGGAGGGCCGAGCAGGGACTGTGGGGCCGAGGTGTACTCTCGGCTCCGGCGGGCCGGGCCTTGGCTGTCGAGTGAGCAGGGCCACCTCCAGACACCCGCCTGCCGGGGTCCCACCGTCCTGGCCGCGGAGGCCGACCCTCTCGTCTTTTAGCCGAAACCTTCCCTCCCTCTCAGTCCCCTCAGCGCTCACCTCCCGACTCCGCTCCCCGCAGCCTGCGCTTCAGCTCCAGCTCGGGTTCCGGGGCCCCGGATCAGAAAGACTCGCTCACAGCTGCGCTCCGCGGCGCAACCGAACTGCGGGCCCCGCCTTCGCGGCGTCCGGACCAACAGATGGGCGGTGCCGCAGTGCCGTTGGGTTTCCATTGGACAGGGCGGCCAGGGTGGGCGGTGCCCCGGGCAGACGGTCGCTCGCAGGGGTAGTCTTCAACCCGGTTTCCTCCCCTAGAGCCTGTCCGGCTGAGACCTCTTGGAGGGTTCGGTGTTTTCGGTCTCAACTGGGGCCTGTCTCTCTGTCCACCCCTCTGTCCGGTCCTGGTGCCCCCGATGATTCTGCTGGGCGAAGGGAAGGCCTTCCCCCTCTTCTTGAAGGCGCCATGACAGTTCTAGTCCGACTCAAAGACAAAAGGAGCGAAAGACGTAGCCTCAATCTGAGAGGAGCGCCCACCCACTTTCAGTATTTGGGGGTGAGACTGCGCAGAACACCAATTCTTCAGAAAACTTTTAAAAAATTACTGAACACATTAACACTGAAAATGAATAGTTAACGCTTCGTAATTGGATAGTACTGATGTTAGCCGAAACTTTGCAAGAGGTTTTCACAGATATCTTTTGATCCTCGTAATAAATTGAAATTTTCATTCAGTAATAGTTGCCAAATGGAAAAATACTGAATCAGAGGCATTAAGCTATTCACCGAAAGTTGGTAAGAACTATATCTAGAATCCGAAACAGTTAAGATTTATCAAAGAAGACTTCCTTGAAAAGATGTTTGGAAAGAACTTAGGTTGACTGCGAGGAGGTGAAAAGAAAAAATGATAGATTGTGGGTGAGCCCATTGATCTTCGAAAACCAAACCAGGAGCCCAAAAGAAGTTAACTCTACTCCTAGACATGTATTGTGGAGGGAGGAGGATGAATCAATCATCAGTACTTGGAAATGTCATAATCACCAAATCTGTCCATAAAGGGAATCTCTAATCCTATTTAACTGATAGAAGGCTATCTGGCAAAAATTCCCTCATTTTCCATCTCTACACCTTAAAATTTAAATCAAACTTTTATCGTTCCTTGATTCTTTCACCTTTGAAAGAGAGTGCTCAAACACTCTTTTAGAAATCTGGACCTTGTTTTGGATATTTTTAAAAGGCATTTGCCCACCAAATGTAGCATACAGTTTCAGGGAGTTGAGGTTAAGAATCTTTGTTCTAAAAAAAAAAAAAGAATCTTTGTTCTAATCTCAAGGAAAGGATGCTCCTCCTGTCCAGATTAATCTCACCAGGTAGACTCCAAAGCAACTGAACACCTGGCGCATGGTAAACATTCATTAAGTATCCGTTGATACTACTATTACAGTTTCCCATTCTCTTCTGTCTGGTTCTTAGTATTATCAACCTTTACCTTTCAACTAGCTCCTTTCAAATCTGCACAGAGGACCCATTAGCATCTTCAAGTTCTCGTTTTGTTTTTAACCTTTCATTCATGTTTTTTTTGGGGGGGGGGGTTGGTTGGTTGGTTGAGGTTTTTTTGTATGTTTTTTGTTTGTTCTTTTGGCTGCACCGCGTTCCCCCCCGCCCCCCCAACCCGTGCCCTTGCCCTGGAAGCATGGAGTCTTAACCACTGGATCTCCAGGGAAGTCCCTTTTCATTCATGTTGAAAATGTTCAAGGGGGCTTCCCTGGCAGTCTAGTGGTTAAGACTCTGCCCTTCCAATGCAGGGGGCGTGTATTCGAATCCTGGTGGGGGAAATAAGATCCCACATGCTGCAGCGGTGCAGCCAAAAAATAAAATGCTCAAATACTGCCTACATCTTCACCACATCATTTTTTTTCTGCTTTAAAAATCATACTTATTGTAACAAATCAAACTATTTCAAAAATAACATAGTATAATGTAACTTTATATAGTAGCTTGTATGTGCTATATTCCACTGTTTTAATTGCCTTATGACATTAATTCACTTAATCCTCACAACAATCCTATGAATATTGTGAATTAACAATTGCTGTAGAAAGTGAAAATCTCTTACCTTAGTTCACCAGAATAATTAAGACTTTGATATATATTTCTCCATATTTATTTTTTCTATGTATATATTAATATATGTATATATAATTTAAAATAAAGGCAAGTGTATACCACATAATCTTTTTCAATTTACTCTTTTCACTTTTTTCCACAGCAGCACATACAGCACTATAATTTTTTAACTACTGTAGAGTATTCCATTATCCAAATGTGCCAATGTTTAATAACTACCAGGGAACTTTGAGGTTATTTCCAACATTATTTATTATAGATAAAGCTGTAATGAATATTCTGCTACATACACCTTTGCCTACTTGTGAAAATGATTTTACTCATTCTTAAAAGTGGAATTGCTAAGTCAAAGACTAAGGACATTTTGAGTAGATATTGCCAAGTCTCTCTTCAAAAAGATATCAAATAACCATATCACCATGAGTATGTTAGGGTTCCTGCTTCCCAACATCCTTACCAACATTGAATATTACCAATCTTTTCACCTTTGGTGATATATTAAGGAAAAAAAAAGATATCCTACTGTTTTAATTTACATATATTTAATTAGTAGGGAAGTTAAACATCCTTTTTTTAAAAGACTTTTTTAGAACAGTTTTACATTTACAACAAAATTGAGAGGAAAGTACAGAGATTTCCCACATACCCCTGCCCCCACATTTGCACAGCCTCCCCCATTACCAAATCACCGGAATGGTATAGGTTTTACCAAGGATGAACTTACATTGACCCATCATAATCACACAAGTCCATAGTTTACCTTAAGGTTCTTTGTGTTGTACATTCTATGGGTTTAGACAAATGCATAATGGCATATATCCATCATTATAATATCATACAGAGTGTTTTTACTGCCCTAAAACTCCTCTGTGCTCTGCCTACCCATCCCTGGCAACCACTAATCTTGTTATTGTCTCCATAGTTTTGCCTTTTCCAGAATGTCAGAATCATACAGTACGTAGCCTTTTCAGATTTGCTTCTTTCACTTAGTAATATGCCTTTAAGTTTCTTCCATGTCTTTTTATGGCTTGATGGAGCATTTCTTTCTAGTGCTGAATAATATTCCATTGGATGTACCACAGTTTATCCATTTACCTATTGAAAGACATCTTGGTTGCTTCCAAGTTCTGGCAATTATGAATAAAGCTCCTATATACATCCATGTGCAGGTTTTCATGTGGACATAAGTTTTCATCTACCTTGGGTAAATACTAAAGAGTGCAATTTCTGGATCATACATTATGAGTATGTTTAGTTTTATAAGAAACCACCGAACAGTCTTCCAAAGTGGTTGTACCATTTTGCACTTCCGCCAGCAATGAATGAGTGTTCCTATTGCTCCACATTCTCACCAGCATTTGTCTTTTTTCCTGTTTATGGCCATTCTACTAGGTGTATAGTGGTATCCCATTGTTTTAATTTTCATTACCCTGGGACATATAATGTGGAGTATCTTTTCATATGCTTATTTGTCATCTGTATATCTTCTTTGCTAAGGTGTCTGTTAAGGTCTTTGGCCCATTTTTTAGTTGGGTTGTTTTCTTATTGTTGAGTTTCAAGGGTTTTTTAATGTACTTTGGGTAACAGTCCTTTATCATATGTCTGTTTACCAAGTATTTTCTCCCAGTTTGTGCTGTCTTCTTATTCTCTTGACATTGTCTTTCACAGAGCAGAAGTTTTTAATTTTACTGAAGTTCAGCTATCAATTATTTCTTTTATGGATCATGTCTTTGGTGTTTCATCTAAAAAGGCATCACCATACCCAAGGTCTTCTAGATTTTCTCCTATGTTATCTTCTAGTTTTATAGTTCTGCATTTCATATTTAGGTCTATGATCCACTGTGAGTTAATTTTTGTGAAGTGTATACAGCCTGTGTCTAGATTCTTTTTTTTTTTGTATGTGGATGTCCAGTTGCTCCAATATCATTGTTTTCATATGTTTACTGCCCAATTGCATTTCCTCTTCAGTTTCTTGCCTGTACATGTTCTTTGCATATTTTTAACTAGGTTGATCATCTTTTTCTTATTGGCTTGTAAGAGCTCTTTGTATATTAGGAAAATCCCATTGTCTTCCCAATCTCCTATACTGTGAATCCCATCCTATCTCTATCTCTATTGAAACTTTACACTCAGTTTATTATAAACCTTTATTCCAAAAACCCTTTCTCATTTCCCATTCTCCATGACCTCTTTAGCATTTGGGACCACTGAACGGCACGTTCTTAAAACTCCTCTGTTACTTTTCATAATACAAATTTATTTCATTTCTCTCTCAATTCCTAATTTTTTCTCCTTTACGTTCTGTTCTTCCCTCCTTTTTTTTTTTTTTTTTTGGTCGCACCACACTGCTTGTGAGATCTTAGTTCCCTGACCAGTAATCAAACCCAAGCGAGGCCCCAGCAGTGAGAGTGCCAAGTCCTAACCACTGGACGGCCAGGAAATTTCCCCCTCCTAACTATTAATGTGCCTGTCAATGTGTCCAAAGTTATATTCTTTGTTCTCTCTACACCATCCTTTAGAAAATATGTCCATTGATGAGCTTCCAATACATCACCAGGATGACAGTTATATTTATCTCTAGCACTTCTTTCCCAAGCTCCAAGATAATATTGGATGCTCCACTCTCACTTCAAACCTAATTTGCCTAAAGATTTTCACTTCAGGTTAGTAATCTACCTCGAGAACTAATTTATTGGGAACAGAAGACAGGTGGCTGGGTGACAGAGTGGGAGGGAAACTATTTGTATGCCCATTTATGCCTTTTGTACTTTGTGCCACATGTACATACATTTTATTCCAAAAAGAAACAATATTTAACAAAGAAACAATTTATTAAATAATTGTATAATAAAGAAAGGCAATGCTTTTAGAATACCCATATATATATGACTAATTTCTAAGCTTCCCAAGTGACCTGCTGACCTCATCTCCCAAGTGGACTGTAGCTTGGATTGTGACATGCTGGTTGTACAACTCTATACATTTACTAAAAATCATTGAATTAACAGTGAGTGAATCTTATGATGTGA